ACCATATTCACGCCCGACACCCACAGACGGACCAGACCCGCTGTTTTCCGTCGGGTGGGGCCGACCATATTAACACCGGAGTTTGGCAGTCAGACACCGCCGTCTTGCAAATATGGCGTGTAGCGGAAGAAGAAAATTGTTGTCGTTGCTGCTTTTGAGACGCAGACAAAAAAAGGGAAACCAAGTCAAGAAGATTTTCAGTGCATCCCATCCAAAGAAACCGTGATACACTTGGTGAATGTTATCATTTGTTTCCGCAGTTGTTGGAAGATAGTGAAAAATTCCAACAATACTATCGCATGGAAACATAGCAGTTTCAATGAACTGTTAGAGATATGCAGAGCTAACTTCTCCCACAGACTGACTTTAGAAATAAAGTCAAAAAGTACACCTCCAGTCTGTGGGAGAGCCACTGGGAAAACCAGAAAAATAATAAATTATATGAAATTAAACCCAGACTAGAACAGCGAAATCCTTCGGATCTCTCCAGAAGAGACGAAGTCATTTTTACTCGATTGCGCATCGGACACACGGCCCTGACCCACAAATACCTCCTACAGGGAGAAGAGAAGCCGTTCTGTGTCGGATGCGACACAGATTTAACCATTAGACACATTTTAACAGAATGTCTAGACTTTGGAGAGATCCGAAGGAAATATTATAAATGCAAGAAATTGCAGGATATTTTCTCCGTCGTTGTTCCCAGCAGAATTTTAAATTTTATAAAGGCCATTGGCCTTTATGGCGAGTTGTAAAGTGAATCTGATATTATTTAAAATTTTTATTGTTACTTAAAAGTTGTTTTAGATCACAAATGTATTTACACCGAATTTGAATATTTTAACTTTTTAGCATTTTAAAGTAAATTAGTTACCAGTCGTGAAGTGAACTTTCGCAGAGGTGAACAACTTGTGTTTCGCGCACTCATATGACCTTAGCAGTTGCGAGCGCCGTAAAACCTTATACTACTACTACTAGAGCTAACTTGACGAAGGAAATATCGAATTTCAAACGGCCTATTTCACCAGCTGAGCGTCTTACAGTTACCTTAAGGTGAGCTAACCTGTCACTATCATCATCATCATCATCATCATCAGCAGCAGCAGCAACAACAGCAACAACAGCATCACTATCATCATCATCATCATCATCATATCAGAGTCGTAGTATGCACGTATGTAATATCGGCGTCATCTTCCTTATTATCCATCAACACAACAACCACCGCCACCACCACCACCATTAAAATTATAATGTGCATACAAAAAGGAAGAAATATTTATCAACACAAACAGAATTGACATTTTAGAGGGACTTTACGGCCTGTGACTAACTGGGCCTGTGACTAACTGGCATGCCTCCAATTATACAAATGAAAACAAAGTAAAATACTAGACGTCAGACTGCATTTCTTGTGCAATAGTTTCCCACAGTTTCAGTATATAATCTCGGTTGCGATGTAACTTGCACCGTTTGTCAAAAATAGCTGACCGCTGTTGAACTAAAAGAATGAGGTTTTTCATCATCCATTTTCTTTTCTTCTTTCTTCTTTGTCGGGGCGATCTAGGCAAGTTGTGTTTTCAAATTCCAAGAACTGCTAGAATTCTGTGTAGTGTCGTTGGGGCGGGAAAAGGGACACAACTATGCAGAGATAACATCACTAAAATTACCTCCCATTTCGCCCGACGGACCGTCTTCGATAGAACATGTTTTTTTTTTATCGGAGACGGTCTGACCGGGGATGACACAGGACGCCGGTCGTCAGTATGGTAGCCGAAACCGTTTTTTTGTTACCTTCCATTACTAAAAAGCCTGTGCGCATTCTTTTGTGCCCGAAGACGGCCTGGTCCCTCTGTCGGTGTCGGGCGTTAATATGGTTGCAGTCTTATAGTTGTTGTTCTTGAGCTTCACAAGCCTTTTGAGTGATTTTTGTCATTCCAATTTTTTTATTTTTTTAGGTTGTGTGTGTGTGTGTGTGGGGGGGGGGGGGGGGGGCTTCCGTCAAACAGCGTGAATTTTCATCGCCGAGACAGGACTGGGTGTCGACCACGAATTCACAAGATGTCTTCATTTATTGCTAAGAAATCCGCCTCAAGACGGCAGACTTTCATCCTCTGTCCCACTTACATTTGTGTGCATGTAATAACGTTGGCTGAACGAGGTTTTGGAGTGATGAGACGACCTTACCTTGTCCATAAACAAATAGTGAGTTTTAATTTGACCGTCGCTGAAGGGAGTTACTCTCTTCGAAAACAATTAAAGTCTCCTTGGGTTTTGTGGCCCCCCCCCCCCCACCACCACCACCACCAAACACACACACACACACACACACACACACACACACACACACACACACACACACACACACACACACACACATCGCACGCGCAGAGAGAGAGAGAGAGAGAGAGAGAGAGAGAGAGAGAGAGAGAGAGAGAGAGAGAGCGAGAGAGAGAGGTTTGTCATTAACTTCATTTAACAATAATTATTACGTATGTGTACATGCTCATGATTCAATTATAATAAATAGAATAATTTGTGCTAAATATCCCCGCTCAATGGCAAGCCCTAAGCGCGTACAATCTATCCTATATTTAACTTGTGTACGATTCTTTATGTACATGTAATGTTTACATTACTTTTATCCGCCGTTTAGATCTATACCCTTTATGGGTGTCGCGGGAAGAAAGAGGCGTCTCTCTGCCACCGGTCTGATGGTAGTGTCTACGTTCTCTAAGGTTAGTAAAGAACCTAAAGATAGCTCTCTCGCTCTGTCTAACTGGGAAACGAGTTGACAATGTTGCTTCCACAGGGCGTACACTTTATTTTCGCAAGCTATTTACTTTAGCGAAACAGTTCTTTCCCACGAAATTAAAATGCTCGCTTACGTAAAGCTGTCTACAGTACCGTATCTTGCCTTCACAGCGACGTTAAACCCCTCGGCTTAACAACCAACCAACGCATTCTTTCATCCCATCGAGACCCCCCCCCCCCCTGTTCACTAAATTTTGACATCACGCACACAATATAAATGTGTACACTTTTCACACAAGAAAGATGCACGCGCTCTGATCCCCCCCCCCCCCCCAAAAAAAAACAAAAAAACAACAACAACCTTTTTGAATATAAGTATAAGTCGCTGTAGATCAGGCCTTCTGTAATTAGTGTTTAGGCTAGACGATATCTTGCAGTTTACAGGCGATTTCGTCTTCTAACCTCAAAGCTAAAGTATAAGACACAACGTGAGAGAGTGAGAGACCATAGATGATACTGACAGATCTATCAAATTCAAACGTGTGGAAAAACATTGCTGATTTGGTGTGTGATGTGACATCACTGTCATAAAATCAAATCACTTGGGTCAAGGTCAAGTCAGTCATATCAACACTAGATCTAGTGTATATCTTAAATATTTATGCCCCTCGGGGCAGTTTTGATTTCAAGAGACTTTCAAATCAAACCCACAGTCGCTTGTACCCTTCTTCTTATCCGAACCTACTATGAAATAGAAATAACCCAATATGACCCAGCGAGTGACCTGGCGAACCTATAATACGATGTATATCGGCAAAACATGACGCTAACCAATTTTATTTTTTTTAAAGAAAAAGAAAGATTGGAAAAGTAGCTCAGCCTCATCCGGAAGTTCAAATACAGACTTGTTACAATTATAAATTGTATTAATTTTGATTCGTTATAGAATGTAGACAGCTAGCTGCTTGTATACATTCTCTAACAATACTAACATTAGCGTACGCAGACACCTCCCTCTGCTACAACTACAAGACGGAGGGAGAGTTTGGGTCAAGGGGATGCCATATAAGGTGTGTTTCCCTGACTCCATCTATCCAGGTCTTTCTCATCTAGCCTTGTCGCCATTGATTTTTCTTTAAGTAGGCACGTTGTGCTAGATGGTGTGTTGGTAATCGCATGAGATGTCCGAACCATTTGATTCTTTGGTGTTGGATGTTGTTATGCATGAGATCATAATTAATTTTGTGCGCACCATTTCTCTGACTACTGGGTTTCTAATTTTGTTTCGCTTGGTCTTGTTTACATGTACTTCTTTTCTAAGACATCGCAATTTACATGTAATTCTTTACTCCAATGTCGTGTTCGTGGTCCATGTTTGGCATTGATAAGTGAGTGTTGGGATGACTTGTTTACGTGCACTTGTGTGAAGGACCGACATCACTGCTCAAGGGGCATCCCCATAAGCGCTGTTGGGAGGAATAATATGGTGTTGATCATTTTGAGTTTTGTTGTCATGGGGATGTTAGGATGTTTCAGTAGTGAAGCAAGCTGGTAGTTAACATTATTGGCCTTTTGTACTCGTGTTTCAATTTTCTTTTTTCTATTAGTTTCTGTAGCAATAAATAATCCACTGCCGACTTGCTTATAAACGTAATGCAGTTTGGTCAAATCAGTTGATCTTTCAAGTCTGCTCGTTTGGTCTAGATCTATTCAGTTGTTGTTGTTGGGTTGTTGTTTTTAGGGGGGGGTGATTTTGTTTTGTTTTTGATTTTTGTTTTTTTGGGGGGTGGCATTTGATGATGATATTACGTTCCAGTTCCATGTCTTTTCTTTCTCATGTACTGATCATTACAACTTTCTTTTATAATATGTTAAATCGCTAGCAGTACAAATAATTAATTCCGCACTCCCAACCATTCACCACTCACCCCCCCCCCCCCCTCCCCAAAAAATAACACAGGCAAAATCCAAATTTACATAAACAAGCAACATTTCAGGCAACAAAACGGTCGTCTGTTTGACTAAAGATCAGACTGTATATAGATATATGCACATAGGCACAATAACGCATTCAAATGTATTAGTATCTCAAAAAGAAAAGACAAACGGACAGAAACAACAGAAGGAAAAGCAGGAAAGAAGTAGGACTGCCAGCGCCAGTTACGCACGCAACCAGCCGCAACAAAACAGCAACAGGGAAACCCACAGAGGAGGCACTGACACACCAACATAAGTTATAAACTTACCTTAAACTAGCCGACACTGTCGCCGACACCAATGACTTGGACGGAGGCCATTTACATTATGCAACAGCAAGGGATATTCAAATACTTTTTATAGAGATTTAGTGAAAGGAAATAAAACTTAAAGTTGTCCGTGCCAGAGACCTCGACTTGAGCTGCGAGTTCCTAGAAAAGAGGAGATCGATACCCTGTACGCGCGCGGGGGGGGGGTGTTGTCTCCAAGTGACGGCGAGAAGACTCATTTCACGGAGCGAAGAGTGTCTAGAACTGGAACTAGAACCGGTGGAGGAAACCAGAGAAGCTTTTGCAAAGGATCAATCAGCAGAGTTTTTTTTTTTTTACTCTGACAAACATAGAAACAAGTACATGTATCACGGGACAACACAGGTAAACACAGGTAGATTGTAAACAAGACGTCGTATCCTGGAGAAGAAGAGAGGGGGAAGAGAGAGAGAGAGAGAG